AGGAGAGAGTCTCAGGTCAGCAGAGCAGTGATGACCTCCATTAAAGAGTATCTTGTGAGTGTGCCTAACCTCAGGATTCTCTGCTGCTCATCCCTTCAGACACTCAGGGGCAGGAGCCTTGAGCCACTTCTCTCTCTTCTGACAGTTCAGAGCTGGATGATTGGGGGCTGATGGTCAAGCAAGTTGAAGGTCGAACTCAGACTGGAGGCAGGATCAAGCATCAAGGTCCAGATTGAGTTCAGCTAGAGGTCAAGGGTGAAGGTAGAGGAGAAGAAGCCTCCAAGCCTCTCTCCCTTGGCTTCTACCTGCTCTGGATTCCATCCTTCCCCGCAGTCAGCAGAGGGGCAAGCTGGGGAGAGGAGCTGAGGCTGGCTGCTATGCAGGAAGGCGTGTTCATCACCACCCCTGTAACGGAGCCCTTGGAGGACACTTGGCACTTGGGAGAGTGGCCATCTAAACAGAAGGACTTGTGGCGCAGAGTTGGAAATCATGACCTTGGAGCTGCTGGAGTGCTGTGCCCACACCAGGCCCTCGCTCCACCCCGGCGCCCCGGAGACCACACGCGTCACTGCATTCAGAGCCCTGGTCACGGGGCAGAGGCTCTAGTTGTGACTGTAACTCAAGAAATCATTGAAGACGGGGCTAATCCTGCCATCTCTATGGGCAGCTGCAAGGGCTTATGAGTGGATAAAACTCTTAGGACACAGCTGGAATCTGTATCTGCCTGCCTGCCCACTTACCTCCCTGTGTGTAAAACAAGGACACTTGCTGTGGCTCCCTTCTAGAATTCTGGGTCTTGAAGGAACAGCTAAGGCTAAAGAATCTGTGTGATCCTGATGCAGAGGGGAGGGAAGATTGTTATCATGTCTCCTACCTATTTGCTCAAGAACTGTCCAACTGTGCCTGTAGGAATAGCTCAGAAGCCACAGATGTGATTCTGCATTTCTAGTATTCACAATCATGCACAGGACAGAGAAACAGGTGAAATCATTTAAATAACAACTCCTCACTTCTAGCATGTATGTGGATGGTGGTTGGGACCTGGTCCTGGGTGGGGGCGGGACAGGGAGTTGGGGGAGGATAGAGTATTGTAGGAGCTTGTCTCAGGCTCCATGGCTCCACACAGGAGTCCTTTGTTGCTTTAAGCCACCAGAACCTGAAGCACCCCCAAAATATCTTTTAGAAAGCTCTGAGTTGGAATCAGATGCCCCCTGGAAGGAAGGGGACGACGGAGGTGATCGTAGCCTTTAAAAAGGAAGAGGGAGGCAGAGAACTGTCCCTGGTGTGTATGTGTGCGTGGGCATGGGGGGAATGGGAGCAGGGAAAGGGGCTTCAGGGAAAGGGGCCCAGATGCCCGACTCCTTGAAGAGGACAGGTCAGCCTGCATCTGGAACCCAGCACCTCGCACTTAGGACGCTGCAGGCTCAGCCTCCTTCCTGGTTCCCCTGCTCAGCTCACCTACTCGATCCATCAAGGACCTGCAATGGCACCAGCTCTGAGCCTGGGAGCTTGGTTCTGAGAGAACATTTAAGCTGCGCATTTTCCTACTCAGCAGACACACAGCGGGAGCGCAGAAAAAGCCCCGGCCCCGCCCCTCTGCCCCCCTCCCCGCCCCGCACCCCAGACTTCCGGAAATGGACTGAAGTTGCACCTGGGCTGAAGGCGGCTGCAGGGATGGTGCGGCCGGAGCGGAGCGTACCAGAAGCGCACCAGGAGCGCACAGAGCGCACAGGCAAAGTGTGGACTGGACCACCGTTAGCCCGCTGGCTGTGAGCAGCTCGCTCGGAAACTGGCACCTGGTGTGGAGCTGTGAGTCCTGGCTCTCTTCTCCAATAATCTCTTTGCTTACCAACCCTGTGTACCCTAGCGTTCCGTGGTGCTTCTGAAGGCGCAGGGTCTCCCAGATCTCTGGCTGTAGCTAAAGAATCCAGCCCTGCTGTGTCCTAGAAGCGACTCCGCGTGCCTCTGGCCCCACATGGCGTGGGGAGAAGAGAGGGATTTGATTTTGGGTGAAAACTTCAAAATGCAGTTTGAGGAGTTGGAGACAAGATCCCTTCAGTCAGGGTTTGGCCGCTGCCTCCTTGGGGCTGCCTTCAAAACAGGATGACCACTCTGGAAAAGTCCCTCTTTTTCTGGTCCCCTGCTCCTTCTCCTGCCCTCTCTCTCCAGTCATGCCATTGTGTCTCTCTTCCTTCTCTCTGACATCCCTACCCACCCAGCCCAAGAAGGGTTTTGGGGGGATGGTGCCAACTCTGGGAGAATGGCTGGACTCTCACTGCCCTGACCCCTGGAGGGATAACTTAGACTCCCCAGGAGCACAGAGGTCACTTTCAGAGATCACTGTTGTCAACTCTGGGATTTAGGACATCTTGAAATCATTTCCTACTGACCTGTTTTCCAACAATTTTTGTTGGAGGAGGTTTAAGGGTGAAGAGCACAGAACCTGGCAGGCTGAGCTGGGAGAGCAAAGACCCGTTTCCTGGGGGAGGTGCGCCTAGGAACTGACAGCAGGACACCGACACTTCCTGGAGAGCCCAGGGCTGGAGAGTGACTCCCAGGGAGACTGAGGCACGGGCACAAAAAGGAGCGCGCGCCTGCCCAGACAAAGGGGAAGTCAAGTCATTCAGCCCAGAGATGAGACAGAACACTGAGGAATTCGGAAATGCCAAGTGGGGGGCCACAGAGAGCCTTAAGGTTTCCACAGACCTCCCCTCCCGCCAAGACTGGAGGGAGGGTCAAACTGGAGGGGACATGAGAGGACACTGGACTGCTTGGCCTCCTTGGGAGGCACCTAGGAGACCACAGTTGGGTGCTCTCCTAGCCTTCAGTCTTTTGCCCAGGAAAAAGCACGCTGCACGAGTCTTCGGAAGCGCTGGACTGCAGAACATCTGTCCTTCCCTGGTTCCTGCACCCAGATAGCCATGCATGCAGAGACCCCAGAGTGGGGGCCTTCCCGCCTCGTCCGGACTGCTTGCTAACGGGGCACAAGCAGAAAAGGTCCTTCCTCAGCGCCCAACCTCGGCAGGGGCGGGGCGCGGCACGGCCCACGGTCTCCCCGCAGGCGGCCGAACCGGTTCGACCCTAGCTGGCTTCTGGAAGACGCGTGAAAACCGGCTCTCCCAACCCACAGTGCCCCAACCAGACCTTCCAGTCCAAGTTTTAGTTAAAATCCATTAATTTGATTAAAAATAGGCGGCCCAAGAGCACACCCCGTGCGTTCCAGCCTCAAGGGAGGGAGCAAGATCCTACACAAGAGTTTGCAGATTAATTTGAGGCAAATCTTGGTACTTTCTAACACTAGAAACAATCTGGCTGCGTCTGCCTCGCTGGGGCCCACCTGACCCCCTACCCGCGGCATCGGTCGTGCGGGTACTGCCCCAAGCCGGACACACTCACCCAAAGTGCGCTTCTCCTGCCTTTCGCGGCGCGCACCCAAAGCTGAAGACCAGAAGGCGTCGCGGGAGGCGGGTCGGGCTCCGGCTACAGCGAATTTGTGCTTTATCCAGTTGCTGCGCCCGGGGCAGGGTTTCCGAAAGACCCTTTATTTAGGGGCCATCCTGGACCCCAGTAGGGATCCAACTACGAAGCACCCCAGCTCTGGCCGGAAAACCTAGCGCGAGCGCTCTGGCTCGCGTTCTGCGACGGGGCAGGTGGCTCACCCGACAGCCCTAGAACCCCTCGCAGTGGCTTTTTCGCTTTCCGCCCCAAATCCGAAGGGCCTAAGCCCTTCCCAAGTCGGGGAGCTGCCCTCCAAGCCCCCTTCCACCCCTCCCGCCACCCCAGAGATGAGGTGCTCGCGCGGAGTTTCCTACGGGGCAATCAGCGCTTCACTCCCCACTCCGTTCGAGATCCCAGCCCTGAGGTCCAGCGTGTGGGCAAAGGGAACCTGTCCTGGGCTCCCGGGAGCACCCAGTCTACGTTCTGTGCTCGCTCTGGGTTGGGTCAGTTGGGGAGATCCGAGCTGGGTGCGCAGCGGGCCCCGCGGCGCAGCCCGCCTTTGCGCACAGCGGCCACTTGGGGTCGCACTTTATGCCCGTTTGAGCCTCTCCGCGGCGGGCGAACGCCAGGATCTGTTTAATCGTTACAAAACGTTCAAACAAAAACAGGGCCGGTTACCCAGCAGCCGAGAACTAACGGAGCACGGTCCTGGACTGGCCTCGGCCCCACGACTCCGGGGAGCTGAGGGTTCCGTGCGTCTGTCGGAGGATTCAGAGCCTTTGGGCTGATTCGTCCCCTGCCTCTCGTGCGTTTGTGGGTGGGGTGAGCGCGGGGAGCCGCGGGGCCAGTCGCGTCCCGGGTCAGGGCTGCTCCGCCGCACGCCGCCCAGAGGGGAGCGACCCCTGCACGGCCGGGGTAGGGTCTCCGAGCCTCAGAGTCGAATTTCAACACAACTCTTGGAGCCACAACACTCCCGCGCCCTCCCCCCCGCCAACTCCCGCCTCTCTCCGACCCCTCCACGCAAGTCCCCTGCCCCCAACACTCGAATACGCGCAGCCCCGCAGCAGCGCAGACAAGCCCGACACACGCTCACACCGTCCTCCCGCAGCCGCGCGCCGCACAGAGCGTCGCCCGCCCAGCGGGGAGGAGGACGCTCGGGAACAAAGGGCCCCCGAGAGGTGTCGTCCCGGTGCTCGTTCCGAGCTTCCCCAGGGGTGACACGGGCTGGGGCTGCGGGGAGCAAAGGGCAAAGAGCGGAGAGAGTGCGCCAAGGGGTGGAAGCGGTGTCCCGGCCAGGAGTCGGGGCGCGCGGCGAAGGCGGGGGGCGGGGGCCGGGACCTGGAGGGGGTGGGGGGCTGGGCCCGGGCCGGCCGTCCCACTCGGCTTCAGCCCTCCGCCAGGCCTCCGAGGCTCCCCCGCTGCTCCGGCCGCCAGTCAGCTGACTCGGGGGGGCGGAGGAGCTGTCAGGCGCGCCCCGCCCTGCGCCGCCCGGCCGCGGGGGCCGTGCAGCTATTGGCCAGCTGGCTGGGCCTCCCGGGCCCCCGCGCCCCAGTGACATCAGGAAGGCGATAAAAGGCAGCGGCGGCGCCGGATCCAGCACAGCTGCACGGCCGGGCTGCGAGCGGCTGCGATCCAGAGAGCCCTAGAGCTAGCGAGCTAGAGAGAGCGAGAGCGGCGGGCGCTCGCCCTGCGCCTCCCCTCCGCCCAGCCGCGCGCCCCGCTCGCTCCTCCACCCCGTCTGTCTCCGCTTGGCCCGGCCTCGGCGCGGCCGCAGCCCCGAGCTCTGGGGCGGCGCAGGCAGCCTCGGGACTCTCCGGCGCGCCGCCGCGTCCCCAGACAAAGGCTTGGCCGGCGGCCCCGGCCCGCTGCGCCCTCGGCTCCCCGCCTCCCGGGCTCGCGGTCCTTCGCCCCCGCTCCCGGCGCCGCGCGCCCCGGCCCGCCGCAAAGTTTCCCGGGCTTCGGCGGCAACTGCGCCTCGCGTCGGCGATGGCCGCGGAGCTGAGCATGGGGTCCGACCTGCCCACCAGCCCGCTGGCCATGGAGTACGTCAACGACTTCGACCTGCTCAAGTTCGACGTGAAGAAAGAGCCGCTGGGGCGAGCGGAGCGCCCCGGCCGGCCCTGCACGCGCCTGCAGCCCGCCGGCTCGGTGTCGTCCACCCCGCTCAGCACGCCGTGTAGTTCGGTGCCCTCGTCGCCCAGCTTCAGTCCGACCGAACAGAAGACGCACCTGGAGGACCTGTACTGGATGGCGAACAACTACCAGCAGATGAACCCCGAGGCGCTCAACCTGACGCCCGAGGACGCGGTGGAGGCGCTCATCGGCTCGCACCCCGTGCCCCAGCCGCTGCAGACCTTCGACGGCTTTCGAGGCGCGCATCACCACCACCACCACCACCACCCGCACCCGCACCCGCACCACGCGTACCCGGGCGCCGGCGTGGCCCACGACGAGCTGGGTCCGCACGCGCACCCGCACCATCACCACCATCACCAAGCGTCGCCTCCGCCGTCCAGCGCGGCCAGTCCCGCTCAGCAGCTGCCCACCAGCCACCCGGGGCCCGGGCCGCACGCGGCGGCCGCGGCGACGGCGGCGGGCGGCGGCGGCGGCAGCGTGGAGGACCGCTTCTCCGACGACCAGCTCGTGTCCATGTCGGTGCGCGAGCTGAACCGCCACCTACGGGGCTTCACCAAGGACGAGGTGATCCGCCTGAAGCAGAAGCGGCGGACCCTGAAGAACCGGGGCTACGCCCAGTCGTGCAGGTATAAACGCGTCCAGCAGAAACACCACCTGGAGAATGAGAAGACGCAGCTCATTCAGCAGGTGGAGCAGCTTAAGCAGGAGGTGTCCCGGCTGGCCCGCGAAAGAGACGCCTACAAGGTCAAGTGCGAGAAACTCGCCAACTCCGGCTTCAGGGAGGCGGGCTCCACCAGCGACAGCCCCTCCTCTCCCGAGTTCTTTCTGTGAGTCGTGGCCGGTCCGGCCCCCGCCCTTGCCCCGGCCCGGACTCCCCGTCCCGCGTCCCCAGTCCCGGACTCCCTCCTCCCCGGACCCTGCCCCTTGCCACGCTCCCAGCCTTGACCTGTTTGACTGGAAGGAGAGGGAGGAAGGGCGCGCGGGACGCGGGCAACATGGGCGGGAGGGCAGGCAGGGGACCTTGGCCAAGGCGAGAGAGGCGCGCGCCAGCGCCGCCTCCTAGACTCCAGCGGAGCCAGAGACGAGGGGGTGGGAAGTCCCGGAGTAACTTTTGTCCAGGCTTGGAGGGCTGCAAGGCAGAATCCGGAGGAGCCGCTGAGGCCATCTGGAGACTCCCGGCTTTCTGAACTTTGCGCGTGGAGCCGGGGCCACTACCTCGCGGCCCAGAGCGCGTCCCGCCCTGCGAGAGAGCAGCGAGGAGAGGAGAGGGACCCTGGCGTCCCGGCAGGCGCGAGGCGAGGCTGAGCGAAGGAAGGAAGGACAGACAAATCTATCTATCCTAGGGCTGGGAGAACACTGGCTCTCAGCCCCGAGACGCGAGCCTCAGTTAGGACGTTCTGCGCGCATATCTCATCAGTTTTATTGCCTGCTCGATTATATAGAAAAAAATACGAAAATCTGCATTAAAAATATTAATCCTGCATGCTGGACATGTATGGTAATAATTTCTATTTTGTACCATTTTTCTTGTTTAACTTTAGCATGTTGTTGATCATGGATCATAAACCCCCTTATTTCTTTGAGTGAGAAGAGATCGCAGTTGGGAAACTCCAGCGGCTGCTGGCCGGGTTGCAACCCCGCGGTCGGCTTGTAAATACCCACCCAGCCAAACCGCTTAGAAAAAGTGGCCTCAAGCTGAGTGTCTTTGTTTTGGGTTTTTTTTTTTTATAATGGCAGGTTTTTTTTTTTCTTTTTGTAAGTATAAAAGAAGAGAAAAATGTCTGGGCATTTTGCATTAGAACACAACTTTGTCTGGGGGTACCCTTGGAAGTTGCATTCTTTCTTCTCATCCTCAGTCCTCTTCCAGCCCTGCACCTCATCTTTTCCTCCCTCTTTATTTTTCAATTTTATTCAGGTTGGATGAAGACTGGGGTATGAGATCCCTAGTTCCAGGGCCGGGCTACTATGGAGTCTCTCAGACCTGGGAAGCAATGTCCATGTTCCTGGTTCTGCTTTAGGGCTAAATTGTCACCCCTGTGAGAAAGGAAAGAAAAACAGATCTTGTTTGCTTTTTATTGCAACCAGAGATCCCCCCACCTCCACCTCCAGCCTTCCAGACCAGCATTGATTGCTGGGGCTGGCTTTGCTTTTGGGGTGAGCAACTTCCCCAGACCCAATACTGCCTAATGGTAACCTGAACTTGAGTTGAACCAACCACCACACTGAGAATGTCCCAGAAACCAAACATTGGCAAGTAATTTTTGCAACTTTCAAGTGAGTTCTTTAGACCGACATGCTATGCTCTGTGTATTTCCTTCCCTGCTATTTGAAGAGCAGGGAGCTCTCGGTGGTGACCCCCTTCAGTTGTATAGTAGTTATAGGAAAAATCTGGGTGTTTTTTTCTTTATTATTGCCTTGTTTCCCCCCTGCAGGTCAGTAAAAGGATTTAAGTTGCACTGACAAAAAAAGAAATATGCCAAAAGGAAATCCTATTTTTTAGTTCCCATTTGAAATTGCTGGCGCTGCTGGCCGGATGCATTTTTTTGAGTTTGTATTAGTTGATAAATTAACAGTAATAACAAGATTGTATGAACCGCATGGTGCTTGCAGTTTTAAATATTGTGGATATTCGTCCTGCATCAGAAACGAGCTTCGGTTTTTACAGATTCAACTGTGTTGAAATCAAATTTGCTGCAACAGAAATTGTTTTTATTTCATGTAAAATAAGGGATCAATTTCAAACCCTGCTTATGATATGAAAATATTAAAACCTAGTCTATTGTAGTTTTATTCAGACTGGTTTCTGTTTTTTGGTTATTAAAATGGTTTCCTATTTTGCTTATTAAAACCATGGAAAGGGTGTTTATTTAGAGGACCCTGCGCTCACCTCTCTCTGATTCCCCTCTTGTGGCCTCTCCAGGGCCCGCCAGGTGCCAGGCTCCTCCTGCCTGGCTGGGGAGCTTCATCCCCAGGCCGGGCAGGTCTCTGCCTTGAGTATGTGAGTGCCTGTGTCCAGGAGACCCAGTGTGTTTTCTGCTTCTCGCCCTAGGTGCGGATGATGCGGGCAGGAGCCAGTGTGAGGGGAGAGGGGGCACACACACTATTGCTGCAGGGCTTGTGGGCTGGGGCATCAGGACCTGCTGACTGACCTGCCATCTAAGCTCTAAGGTAGTGTTGGGCCAGCCCAGTGCAGACTGACTGGGGGAGGGGGGGGGACGCTGGCCTCTTTCATCCACCTCACCCCTCCACCCACCTGCCAAGGCTCTCTCTCTCTCTCCCTTCTGTCCAGAACTGGTGCAAGAAGCCAGCCCTGGATCTAGGGAGTGGGGTGGAAAGTCACTTCAGTTAGGAAGCCCCTCTGTGCTAACCTATTTCTTGGGGGTCGCATACTCCAGGCACATCTGCCACTCAGGCCTGGAATCCTAAACCCGACTAAAGGACACTAGTGGGACATGGCACAACCTGGATGGACAGCAGAGACTGCAAAGTTCCAAAAATTCTCTCCTAGGACACTCCCCTCAGATGCCTAGGTCCCTCCCCAAACCCCATCCCCTGTCACCCTCTTTGAGAATTCTACCTATAACCCAGACTGAGTCTAAGCAGAGGGATATACCATCCAAAGCTCAGGAGAATTCCTTCAATGCAAGGGGCTTCCACTTTCTCAGTATCAGCAGTCCCCTGAGACTTGTCCTTCCTGTTCTGGGGTCCTCTGGAGCTGGAGTTCCTAGCATGGGATTTCAGGATGCCAATGGGCAGTTACAATCATGAGAGCCCCCAGTTCCCCAGTCAGGAACTAGAGCTAGGAAAACCAAGACCAGGAAGGGGATAGAATTTTGGTTTGGTCCCTGGAGGTCAGGGAGTCTGACATAGAAGTGGCAAAGAGGGGATGGGGGAATCTAAAAAACTCAGGTTGCAAATCATGGTAGCAGCAATTTACACTTAAGAGCACTTTGGTGTTGTTATGCAGGGGGAGCAAAGAAGTCAGAGAGTCAAGCTCTGATTCCATTCCAAGGCCCAGATCACCTTACCAACCCTAAGAGATATCTGGCAGGAGAGTCTGGCTTCAGTCTCAGGAGAGGATGGTGGCTGAGAGGTGACCACCGGGTGGATGAAGGTGCTAGGAGAAAGTGTTGGCTAATTTCATGTGCAAGTGCGGGAGCTACAGAACTTAATAAGAGCGGGCTCTCCCGTCCCAGCACATCTCCGCCTCTATATTTTTCTGGCCACAGCCTTGGTGCTTGGGGTGAAGGGGCCACCACTTCTGACACTGGGGTGAAGGTGGTGAGTTCTGGAAGAAGCCTGGCAGCATGGCTTCGGCCACCACTGGAGAACAAGTCTTGCTCAGTTTGGAATCGTCCCAGACACATCCTGAATTCTAAAGAAATTCCCGCTTGGGAGGGTCCCAAATGCCAGGGCTTTGGTTTTCTTAGCCAGAGCCAAGATACAGACAGGGGGTGCTCAGAGGGGCACCTCACCGCTGCAGCTTCCAGAAGGAACGACATGGATTTTCAGAGTCCCCGGGTGTCCATCCCATGACACAGTGGTAGTGACACAGACACACAGTCACTCACCCCACAGCGCTGTCACGTCTCCTGCCAACCACCCTCCCAGTACTTAAACTGCCCTGGGCGCGCACGCAGGCCACAGCGCGCTGAAGGGGCCCGGGACAGGACATCTTCGGAACATCTTCAGGAGGGCGCGGACAGCGGGACCAGCCCGGGTTGCCTCCTGACCCGCCGCGACGCGACGCGACAGAAGCGGCACCTACAAACGCGGGAAAGGGCAAAGTGACCTAGGTTCCTAGGTCCGGCTCGTCCCACGCGGGCGATGCCCAAGACACCCCACTGTTCCTTTCGCTTCCCACGGCTCCTGAACCTCTCCGTTCTCCACGAACCCCCCCATCCCCCACCCCAAGGGAAATCGCGCCCTGAGCGCAGAGTCTTCGCCAGCTCGGGTCCCGCGAAGACAGGCTGGCGCCTGCGTGTGGGGAACGCGCGCCCGCGCGCACACACACACACATACACACACACACACACGCACGCACACACACGCGCGCGCAAACACACACACACACAAACACGCACACGCACACGCGCGCGCGCGCGCGCGCGCCGGAGGCACGCACAGACCCGGTCCGCGACCCGCCCCTCCTTTCGGACCCGGTTCTCTAGCCGCCTGGGTCTGGCCCGGGCGCGGGGGTCGGTGCGGCTGCATCGGTCGCCGCCACGTCCATTCAGCGAGGCGGGTATGGAAAGGCGCGCGGCGTCCCCGGGCCTCGCCCACGATGGGACCCCGGGTGGCCTCAGTCCGCGGCTTTTCTTCCCGTGCCATTTCCCCTGCCCGTAGCTGTTTCTCCGCAAATACAGTTCAGAAAACTTTGGCGGTCTTTTCTTCCTCTTTCTTCTGCCCTTTCTGGGGGGCGCAGCTCGGCGGGAAATACTAAGGAAGCGGGAGTCCACTCCGAGTGGGTTGCGGGAGATGGGGGGAGTGGGTTGCGGGAGATGGGGGTCATGGCCGTTGGGACCCAGCGCATCCCAGACAAGTCGCTCCACCTCCGCGGGGCTCTCTCACAGCTGCCTGCCGGCTCCCGCCAGGGAGCTGGGCAGGCGGTGGATGGACCCGGAGCCGGGGCCCCCAGCAGGCTAGAGGGCCGCAAACTTCCTCTCTTGAGGACTGGCCTCGCTTTCCAGTTTCCCCGTAACCAGGCTTTCCACACTCGGGCTCTGGGCATCCCTCCTGCAGGACAACCCCCTTCCTGCTCAGAGGTGGCCACCCTCTTTTCCAGCTGTGCCTCAGTGTACCGACGTGCGTGTGCCTGCGTGTGCAGGGAACGCCGCTCCGGACTCTCGGAGAACCACGACCTTAACAGCGTTTTATTCTTTATTATTTTTAATTTCAATGCACTTAGAACTACAGCTTCTGCTACCCCAGGCAGTCCCCACTCAGAGTCACTCACCCCCTCTTCTCAAAGCCCCCACTTCTCACTCCTGGCTCCAGGGAAACAGCTGAGGTTTTGATTCTGCTAGTTCCTCCGCTGCCTTTCAGATACAGCCCGTCCCCATTCAGGCTCCTTCTGTTTGGAGAGAGGCAAACTTAAATGTGGCTTCTTGCTCTTCCCGCCCCCCCCCCCCCTTCCTCAGGCAGGGCTGAGGAATCCTTTCCACCTCGGGGAGGGCAGGTGGGTGGGATCCTTCTGTTTGCATTGTGGTGTAAGGAGGAGAGGATTCCAGCAGGATCTACCTCTCCTTTCCCCACCAAAATGAAAGTCCATAGAGAGCTGGGGATTTTGTTGCTTCTCCCCCTCCCTCCATCTGCAGTGCTCCTGAAAGGAGTCAGTCCTGTTAGAAGAGCTGGATCAGGGTTTGTACCTAGCGGCACTTTCAGGAGACAAGCCAGCTTACAGCAAAGGGAAAGCTCCTTGTGACCAGGTTGTTCTGTGACCAGGCTGGACCTGCGCATCCAGTTACCTGGAGACTGCTGGATGGTGTTTGCCTGGCCCTTCATTTGGGGAAGCTTCGTCCTGTCCTGTCTACAGTTGCTTCCCTGGAGCAGGGACCAGGGCATCCCTGCGGCTGGGGGCACACATGGTCCTGCCCCATCATGTCTCCCCTCCATCTGCAGCCCCTCCTTCTCCTGAGCCTGTATTCTAGCACTTTCCGTGCCTCATATGCCTTCTAAATATCCTTCTCCTCATCCTGCAAACATTAGCAAAAAAGACACAGTTCCACAGAAAAAAACGGAGTTCACTCTTCTCCCTTGGAGGAAATTCAATAAGGGAGGTAAGTTGCCACTCCATTATGGAAAAGCCACCTAAATGAAGGATTAGGATTTGTCCCTGAAGCAAATCCCAGTGTTAGCAGCTTCACATTCACATTCATGGCACCCACCCCTGACACCTCCCTTTTCGTTTGTCCCCCAAAGGGCTGATGTGGATATGGAAGGGTGGGAAATAGCCCTTTGGGGGACAGCTGGTGGTGGGTGGGAGAATGAAGTGGGGGGGGAGGGCTGATGCTTTCTGAAAGAAACCACTTTCAAAGTGAGGAGGAGGTGGAGGCAGAGGAGATGCGGGTTGGTTGTCGGTGGCAGTTCTCTCTGTGGAGCGCTGTGTTCTTCCACAGCTGCAGCTCCTGCATGCCCATGCTTTGGTGATCGGATAGAGCCAGAACCCTGGAAGGTCTGTGTGAGCCTCATGGAGCAGGGAATGGGGAGCTGAGCCTGCTGAGTTCACAGGGACTCAGAGGCCTGGGATCCCCCTTCAGCCCTGATGTGGGCCTCTCTCTGCTCTTACCTGCCTGGAGTGATGTGTGTCCTGGGCTCTGCAGACTGTGGGCCTGGACCTGGCCAGTGCTCAGCTCTGCAGCAGTGAAGGGCCATCTGCCCTCCTTTGTGTCCTGGAAGCTTGAGCTGGGGACACATGTCCCTTTTGATTGGCCAGGGGCATGCAGGTCACCGAGCATAAGAAGTGTGACGAAATCCTGAGGTTTGTGCCATTATGCTATTTCAGTAAACTCTCTGAAGTGGGGGTGGCTTTTCTCTCCAAAGGTGGGATAAACAAGCTTAGGGTGGTCATCTTGGCCTGGAGTTCCCAGTGGAGGATCTAGAAATTGAATCTCCACTTTTCTGATGCCAAAATGTGCCATTAGCGACCCTGCTTTGTGATACCATTTCCCCATATGTGAAACAATCAAGTGCAGAGCAGCAGAAAGGGATAGAGGAGGGGAGGATCTAAAAGGGGGATATGGAAGGGTGGGAGAGAGCCCTTTGGCAGGTAGTTTTCTTGCTAA